GAAACCATAAATTTTGTCCCATAGAAACTGACCTTAATAGCAGCAGCAGGAGAAATAAAATATATAAGGTAGAGTTCTTCCCTATTGTTTTTACTTGTTCATGGAGCTCTTTATGCTCCAATTGCAAGACTTATTCTCATGTCTTTTGAACCTTAAAATTCAACTTTGAAAGACGGGTCATTGAGGTTGGATTTACTCTTTAAAACATTAGTTTCATCCATTTGTTTCAATGACCCATGCTTTGCTATGTCATAAGCATGAGACACCATACTACATAAATTGTTTGTAGAGAGTGCTAAGTTGAAGTTGCTGCAAAGCGATAAATATTAAGCTAAAAATATGATATATGGGTTAGTAATGTATTTTCACTAAGTTGAAGTTTTGATCTTGTAGATTGGTCGATTGGTTATCTTGAATTAGTTTGGTTAATTGAAAATTGGGTTTAAGAGATAGCCTCAATTTTTATCTTTTACATTGTTCGATTGATTAGGTTAATTAAAAATAGGGTTTAAGATGATTTTTTTTAATCTCGTTTGAAATAATGTTGCTCTGTTTTTATCATGGATTTTTAGGCTTCTTCATGAAACTGATCTTCATCCTTACTAACTGCTGAGGAATTTTTAGGCTTCTTCATGGGTTTGTACTTCTTGCTGAGGAATGAGGACCATTTTGATGATCTCAAGAGGGCTACAAGGTCTGAGTTTAAGTGGGAGAAACCAGAAGGTTGCCCTGATAATATCCCTCTCTATGAACTTGCCAGAGGTGGTTATAGGCAACTTGCTAAAAAGCTTTCTTGCCATCAGGTATGTCGATTCTTATGAGTTTTTAGCTTCTTGAGCTTCTTTAGACTGATTTATGTTGCGCGGAAAATGGGTCTGCTTATAGCAAAGATGTACATGTGTTTCTACGGGTCAAATAATGCATTCTCCAAATCTTAACAAGGTTATGAAATCGGTTGTACCTCGAATAATGTGTTTTGTGTGATAGTAATACCAATCAAATTCATGTTTGCAGGTAGTACTGGTTTTTTATGTGCATGTCATCTACGTGGTAGCAACTTTGACTTCCCATTAAAATTTACATTATGGTCAGTGAGTCTACATATTTGTTTTGGTTATTGTGTTTCCTTTTCTCTTTTCCTACATTTGTTCATAATATCAAGTTAGTGATGATGGTACACATAATTTGTATGGAACACTGACAATGTGTTTGATTTTATACACATAAAATTACTTCTTATGAGAACAGAAAGTAATCATATGTTTTAAGCTCTTGGGTTATTGGTTGTCACTTCAGTTGAAAGACCTTGTTCTTATTGTTCATCCCATCTCTAATTTACATTCATTTTGAATAAGTGGTCAGTTTTGTGTGCTTAGTAGTTCATTGTCTCTTGCAGAGATGAAATATCTAGATGCAGTGAAAAGGCCTATGATTCAATTTCAATTAATGATGCCCGAAAAATATTGATGTTCTCTTCTGACCAAGAACTTTTTGAGTATGTCAAGGAGGTAAACTTCCTGCTGCTTAACTCATTTTTATTCTTGTTGTTAATCAATAGAATGCATTACTGGCTAGATCTGCTTTGATGGTCTATAGTTTAAGGGCAGTACTAAGCATCTAATTGAAAGTCATTCTTGGTTTGCTCATTTCCTTTATATTGTTGTTCTTTTTGCCAAGAGCAGTAGTGAGTAAATTCTTGTTCTCAAAACAATGTGGTCCCTCCTCCTTTATGGTTTTTTACTTTCAAATCCTACTGCTCTTGGCAGAAAGAAGTGAGTAAATTCTTGTTCTCAAAACAATGCTTAACTCATTTTCAATTTTTGTTTGGGAATACGGATTTTAAATTTCAATAGATGCATTATGGGTGTCTTGTCATTCATATTATCATTACATTAATGACGCCACCATAATCCACCCACATGGAAGCTTTGTAATGTTATTTAGTGTCCAATTTAAGGGCTCCCTGATAAGCATTGTTTTATGTGCAATTTGCAGGAGCATCCTGAGTGGGAGATAAAGAATGGGTTTGTAATTTTCCATAGGGCAAAAGAATCTGCAGCTTGCAAGGAGATACCGTCTCTGCAACTAATAAACCAGACACTCAGTTACGCAAGGGAGTTGGAGTGGATAGTGTGAAAGACATGATGCTCCAGGGTTGTTTGTGCTCCTCACTCTATGATCTATCTTCCTGATGCAAAATTATATTGCTTTGAAGAAATTTCCCACCTTACATTTATTAGACCTTTTTCTATTTAAATTTGTTCAGTATTGGAAAGTACACATTTAGATCTGTTCCCTGCAGTGAAAACTGTTTTGTGTAATTGCAATCATTCCACGGGGTAAAAATTACAACTGAACTCTGCCCAATTGAATCAGTTGCATATAAGACTAGTAGATGGAAACTATTTTATTGTTTGATGATTTAGTGAAGTTACAAGAAAAGAAATTTGTTAATGATTGTTCCTAAGCTTTTTCTTTTTTAAATGTTATTGTTCCTTAATTGTGGTTGGGTTGAATGAATTTTGTTCGATATTGGATTGAATGTTTATAAACAAAAATTGATTGTTCCAAAAAAAAAAAAAAAAAAGAGATTTGGCGATTAAAAAATTGGTCGGCAAATTCTACACTTTTGCGACTAAAATCATTGGTTGGCAATTCCTTACATTTTGGTGACTAAATTGTTAGTCGGTGATTCCAAACTAAGAGGTCGCAGAATGTCACAATTAGCGACCAAATTTTTTTGGTCGTTGAATGTGATAATTGGCGACCAAAAGTGTTGGTCGTGAAATGTGACAATTGGCGACTAAGATATTTGGTCGGCAAAAGGTGACTTTTCGCGACCAAAATGTTTTAGCGACAAAATGGATTAGTCGCAGTAATGATATATTTAGCGACCAAAAATTTAGTCAACAAATCTAACTTTTCCCGACCAACCAAAATTTTGGTCGCGAATTACTTTTGCCGACCCTCAATTGGAGACCAAAGTAGCAACCAAAAAAATTGGTCGCGGATAACTTTTGCCGACCAAAAACGGGCTTTTAGCGACCAATTTTTTGGTCGGCAAAAGTGTTAATTCTTGTAGTGCCACTTACACACGAGATTTTTCTTCTGCCAAGATGCGGATGTTATTATACTCCCACCGTCCAAATTGTTTGTGTTGGAAATGGGCGCCCATGTGGCATAATTCTTTTCAACTTTTTGAACCTTATCCTAATGGGTTTTGAATTTGAATTCAAACCTATTTGGATAGCCACTCAGGATATATATCTATCATATCCTGATATGGATAGATGATATAGATATCAGATATTATCTCATATAACTAATATGGATAAATGAGATAAATAGATTATATATCTGATATATGGGATATGGGTGATTAAGAGAAAAATAACGTATGTTTGAGTTTTTTTCCATATATTGACTCTCTCCCCAAAACAACGATCAAAGCCATTTGCACTGTGGTTTGTGTGGGTGATATTCACACTACTAGAAAAATGACCTTTTGCTACTATACAATTTGCGACCCCTAATTATCAGTCGCGAATAATCTATTTATTCCTTATATTTATTTTTTCTTCATTTTTTCCTCATAATTACCCTAGCCCTATTTCACAAACATTGATATCGTTCTCTCCCCCTTTCTCTCCCCCTCTCTCTCTCTCTCTCTCTTTCTCTCTCTGTCTTAAATCAATCGTCGAAGCTCTCAGATCTCAGGTCGCCATTAACGTTTTTCTCTCCTTCGGCTGCCTCGCCTTCGCCCCTGCCCTCCTCAACCTCTTCCAGGTCTCTTTCTCTCTCTTTATATACATGCATATATTTGTGTATATATCTCTGATAGCTTGTGTTCTAGATGATTCTAGAGAGAGAATTGACAAATAGCTCTAAAGATCTATGGCGGATCATTCTCTTTCTCTCTCTTTCTCTCTCTCTCTCTCTCTCTCTCTCTCGCACGCGTCCAACAGACCTGTATAGCTCTGCTCTCTCGCTCGTCATCGTCGTCTGAAGATCTCCAGCGGTATGAATCTCTCTATCAATCTCGCCCCTAATCCCTCTCTCTCTCTGTCTATCTATCTATCTATCTATCTATCTCTAGCTACACATATATATCATACGAGGAAGCTCTGGTTCGACTAATTCGTCTCATCCTCTCATCCTCGTACAGGTATGTACTAGTTCAACTCATCTTATTCTTGCCCTATTTTCTTGCATTTTCCATATCTATTAGTGTATATCTCTCAATTTCTTCTTCAATACATTATAGTGAGTAGTACATAATTGTTTTTAACTTGAAATCAAGATTTCATTTATTATCGGCAATTTTGAATTTGTTGAGGCAAGAACTGGTAAATTTGAATTTGGAAGATAAAAAGTCCTAGTGTTGAATTTGCTTGGTTTATATGTGATATTAAATTAGTTCGTTGATCATGCTGATTGGATTTTCTAGTTGATCGATTTGTTAGCATTGACATTGACATTGACATGAATCATTATCACTCGGTACAAGTGTATTCATCGTTGCTCTTGCTGTTGGAACTTTTGCTTGTTGGATGTTGTGAATGTCTTTGGTGATTTCTATAATCATATTTTTTGAATATGTTTGAAGAAAGGGGAGAGGGACATATTGAGGTTAAATTCTTGTTTTGTCTATTCTTTTAGAGGTTAAATTCTTAACTGAAGGCGAGGGCGTGTTCTATTTTCCTCAAGGACATATTGAGCAGGTTAGTTTCCAGCTCTAGACAATTCTATTCGGAGTTCTTTGTTTCTCTCAGAGGTTAAATTCATTAGGATTTCTTATAATGCTTTATAATTTTATCAGTTTTGTCTCTCTTGGTTGTGCATCTCCAAGTTATTACATTGAGAATGAAGGGCCATCACCATGAAAACTAGTGATATGTTTCTATTTTGCCCTGTTTGTGTGAAAAGGTAAAGAGATTTGTGTATTGGCTTTGCAATATTTGCTGCAAAAAGCGGTGAAAGCTATGCCAAAATTACTATTCTCTGTAGGTTGACTCTATTTACTATGCTTTGCTTTTAATGTAGGACAATGGAAGAGGAATGCCACATGATGATATTCCCAATATGTTTGGACGAGGTTTGACACTACTTGCAAGATACCGTTTCCATTTGATACGATTTATTGTTGGCACATGGACTGGAATATTTGTTTGATCATGGACATTCAATGTGTTCATATTACATTGAGAATTGCTAGGATTAATATGTTTCAACTCTATAATGATATTGTAATATTGACTTATTGTGAGAATATTTATATTTGTGTAGTTTTGTCTGGGACAAAATATGGCTTGAAGCAGACACGCGGAAAGTTTGGACTTGGTGCAAAGATGGTAATGTTTGACATCATTTAACCAATTTATGCATTTTCAGGTCTTAGTGTGAGAATATATATTTGTGCCCTTCCATTAGGTTTTATTTGTATATTTTAGTTCCTATGGTTCTTCGTTTAATAATCATGATAGAATATGAATGTGAATTTGGTCAACCATATTCTTATGCTTATAATATAATATGGTCAACAATTTGATCTTTGTCCTTATGTAGGCATTAATTTGGTCCAAGATGAGTACAGGGCTTCCTATTGATATTTCATCATCAATGAAGGGCCAAAATTATAGTTCATTCTGCTGGCTTGATATAGACATTCATCGGTATGATTTATATAAGGCATAACTTATAATCCTATGACTACTGTTACATTGTGAATATGCATAGTTGTAAGTCTCCGGTTTAATTTTGTTGTACTTTTCATTTCTTTCTTTATAGTTTATAAATGGAGCTTCTTTCAATCATTAGGAACATTCTTTACATTCACTTACATGAAAAACGGGACAATAAGGAACGATGGCATGGAGCTGAAATCCAAGTTGTTATTGAGGGAAATTGAACAACTTACCGTGTATGTAGCACTCAATTTGGCCCATGTCATGTGATTCCATTGTACTTTTAGCTGTACACATAAATAACGAAGAAAAGCATTTATGTGATATGTTTTGGAATCGTGTTCGATCAAATAAATTGAGCAACATATTCTTTTGCTGATGATAATCCTCTCAAATTCTATATTAGGCTTATCAATGGCATCACTAACGGAACTTTCTTTCAACTGGACTGGTTTCATTAGTGTGATGATTTCAAATATTGCATTCACTTGCAGGAGTATCTATTCAAAGAAGCAATGGTAATGTCTTTCACAACATGTAATTATTCTTAGTATTCTAAATTGTGGTTTTTATTTTGATGGGATGGAAGAGTGTGGAAGAACACAATTAAGGTCCCCTGCTTGACCTTTAATAATGCTTGATTATCTCTTATGTTGCTTTCGACTTTTCTAAATGCAAGAAGTAATGGTGTTGAACACTTGACACGTGTAAGACTTCAAAGAGTACAGGATTTGTGTCCAATGTGCCTAGTTGGACATGCACCCTGTATCTCTTAATGTAATGATCATATTTTTGTAAATATTTTTTTAATCCTTCCCCTATTTAAATGGTGTACTATGACAACTTAAATTATCATTAAAATTTTGAATAATGGGGAGCAACACTGTTACGATTATTAAAAATTGTAAATAAATGTGAGAGTGAACAATGGTCGAAATATAAGCAAAACAAAACAAATTCAGCAGAACACACAGCCAAGTACACAAACTCCTACGCTAATAGAGTACATACAACACAAATTCACCCTTGCCAACCATCCACAAGTGAGCAAGACAACAAAGCACAAGATAACAAATAACACTCAGCATCAGGGTACCACTTGAACACCCTCCACCCCTATACACCAGGTCACCACTTGGCACTCAAACCAACCTCTAGTGTAGATATATTTGTCTTAATTTAGTCTTTTTGCTCGATATCTTAATTTAATCTTTTTGACCTTTTCCATTTCCACTTATCATGCAAAGAGTGGATATATTTGTTATTGAGCCATTAGTTATCAAATTACAATGTGTTTTTTATTATTTTTTTATTACTTGGAATATAAATATAATATTTTGCATTTGTTTGTTTTCATTGTTGATTGCAACAGTTGACTGCTCGTAGATGCCAAGAATGTGGACAAACACTTCCTCCAACCTATCAACTCCTGGCTGACGAAGATTGGTCAACTGGAATTTTTGGGTGTACTGAAGATACCGACAGTTTCAAGTGTTCTATCTACTTCAACTTTTCAACTTGTGGCATTCAAGTTTTCACATTAAGTTGTCAAGTCGTGTACATACAGAGAAGGGGGGGGGAGGGGAAGTTCACTCATTTTTCTTTAATTAAAAATCTAATTTCAGCATCCTTTGTCAAATAGAGCTCATGTCTAACTGGGATTGTGCATGTTTAGCATAGTTATACAAGATAGACGCAAATAAAAATGATCTACATGGTATAATAGCAATAGTTTCACGGACTGGCATACGAAATTAACGGAACAATTTTTTCTAGAATTTGATGCTTAAAACTCAGTTAATATGAAAAATAAAATGCATTATTTATACATCTAAATTTGCACAGAATAATTGCTTCTTCTTTGGATAAGGATGTCTGAATGTATTTTGTGTTTGGCATTACTGAGATCCTCGTTTATTTTTGAATCATTTGTTCATCTTGTAGGCTTGACTGGACTATTCTGCCCATGTGTGTTATTTGGACGTAATGTTGAAAACTTGAACGCTGATATCTCTGAAAGGGCTGCCTGTGTTGGTCATATCATATGTGTCGAAGGTGGTATGACATTTGCTGCATTGACAACAGTTCTTAATGGCATTGATCCACAGACATTATTTCTCATTTATGAGGGTCTGTTCTTTGCTTGGTGGATGTGTGGAATCTATACCAGCATGGCTCGGCAATCATTGCAAAAAAAGTATCATCTAAAGGTGATCTGAATTGCATTATTAAAGGCTTATTACTTAATTTTTTTTTAAGACTTGAATTTTTTAGTACAGTGCATTTAAGGATGGATAATAGATAATGTCTATTATAAATTTAATTAATTTGTTAATTTTATTATTTTTCATTAACAAAAAATTGTTTGGTGATTGTAATTGATTTTTTTTTTTTGTTGTAGCAAACCCGTATATGATTTTGTTTTTAAGAAATAATTATTTGTGACAGTAAAACAATGGTCGCTGAAAGTGTTTTTTATTTTTTAATTTTTTTTTGCGACGGCAAAATAACTGTCGCAAAAAGTAGTTTAGGTGGTCGCAAATAATTTGCGACTGTTGTTTTGCCGTCGCAAAAAGTATTTGCGACCCCAACATTTGCGTCCCCCATTTGCGGTCGCATAGGCCGTCGCAAAAAGTCTTTTGCGACTGTATTTTTATTATTTGCGACTGCTTGTGGCGGCAGCAAAAAGTATTTTTTTTAGTAGTGTCACTACTGTAATATCACCCCATTGCTGGGTTGATTGACCAGATTCAGGAAGCACGTGATTTACCCACGAGATCCTTCAATTCAGACTCTGTTTGAAAGGTATGACCATAATTTTTATTCCGCTGCGTTATACTTTGTTTACATTGGTATCAGAGCCTTAATGAATATTTTCGTGTTTCCTTTAATCAAGTGTATATTTTTATATGTATATGTATACATTATATACATGAATGTTTGTAAAGGAGAGAAAAAAAATCTACTTTTATTAGATTAAGAGAATAAATATTTTTTTTTATGTTCATTAATGTCTTTTTTAATACCATAAAAGGTTTTATTTTGAAAAAAGGAGTCCAGCAGTACAAAAATCAGACCAGAAAACACCCCGGAAGCCGTGAGCTGCTCCCACGCGCTCCCACGCGCCAGATGCCCTGTCGACGCGCCTGCACGCGCCCTCACGCGCGCGTCAGCGGCACTGTTCACGCACGCGCGCCTTGCCTTGAGCCGCGCTGTTTTCCTCCGCCGGATCGGCTGGCTTGGCTGCTGATGTATTAGGTGCTGTTTGTTTTGTTTTTAATTCTGAATCGCGTTAAATGGTCATAATTAATTCATTATAGATTTGTTTTATGCGTGGTTTGTACTGTTAGGCTCAGAATTAATTTTTCTACATTCTGTAAAATTTTGAAAATTTTATAAAAAGAAAAAGTATTTTTCCTGTGATTATAATTCATTATTTATGCTTTAAAATGATTCTGGTATTGCATAAATAATTTTCTGGGGTTGAAATTTTTATTGTGGACTTCTGAAAGGTTTTACTATTTACTGGTAATATTGTCTCTGTTTATTAGTTTCTAGATTTTTTATTTCTAATTTTATGTGTATTTATTAGTTATTTAAAATTCCAGAAAATTTCAGAAAATTTCCAGAAAATTTCAGAATGATGTACATTTTAATTATGGCATAATCTGAATATTGTTTCTGTTTATCAGTTTCTAGATTTTTTTTATTTCTAATTTTATGTGTATTTATTAGTTATTTAAAATTCCAGAATATTTCAGAAATATTTCAGAAAATTTCAGAATGATGTACATTTTAATTATGGCATAATCTGAATATTGAATACAACATATTTTTTGGGTTTGTAATATGTTGCAATTAAAGAAGCATGATTGTTTATTTATTTATTTATTTGAATTTCATTATTAAATAAATATAGCATGAGTTTTTTGTAAATTTACATTGAGATGCTATTGTATGGAATTTATCATGTTTTGTATATGCCATAAGTAGTGGGAGATTGTTTGATTGTTTTTTGCGCATGGAATTAAATTAAATTTTGATAATTATCACTAGAGGCGCAAGAGATGATTACGAGCATAGCAAATTTTCGATCTTGAGACATGTGTAAAATTATCATTATTTAATTTAGATTCTTTTTTTGCTGCAAAATATTTTGTTTTGTGTTGCTATCATTAATATCCCCTGCGCATTTTATTTACTCTGTATGTAGAAATGGCTGCTAAGACAGTGGTGGCAGACTTAACTAAGGGAGAGAAATTGGATGGCGACAATTATGATATATGGTGCCGTAAGATCCAATACCTCCTCAATGAGCAAGAGGTGTTGACCACACTTGAACAAGTGATGGTTGAGCCAGAGCAGGGCAATACAGCTCAACATCGTTGTGATCTTGAAGCCTTTCAGACTTGGCGTAACAAAGATCGGTGTGCGCGCTTTACTATGTTGAGCAGCATGCACAACGACTTGATTAGTGAGTTTGAGCATTGCCCGATTGCATTTGAGATGTGGGAAGCTCTCAAGCAAAAGTTTGGTATTACCTCTTTAGCAAAGCTACGTGGGCTAACTATGAAGTTTGACTCATATCAGAAAAGGGCGCATCACTCGATGATGCAGCATTTGAGAGTCATGTCAGCCATGATACGTGAGCTTGCGGCTGCTGGGCACAACTTGACTCAAGAGCAGCAAGTACAGGCTGTGATACGCTCTCTGCCAAATTCTTGGGAGCAGATGAAGCAGAACATGATGCATAATGAGAGTGTGAAAACATTCGAAGACATATCGCGTCATTTGGAGCTAGAGGCTGAGCGCCTTGAGGCGGCTAAGTCTGATGGTTCTGCTATGGTGGTCGAGTCAAGCTCACGTAGGACTTCTCAATTCAAACGTGGAAAAGCAAAAGGTGCCCCTAAGAAGCAAGTAGTAGCTGCGCTTAAGCCCAATGGCGCTAGAAATTTCAAGCGTAGGGGCAAGAGAGGTGGTAAGAAGGCAAAGGCTAAATTGACATGCTTTAACTGTAACAAAGAAGGACACTTCGCTCGGGATTGCCCTGAGCAGAAGAAGGTACTCCCTTACTTAATTTCTCGCATTCAATGCTTTGTGTCTAGTCAAGCATTAATTGCTCATTCTCCTCATTTTTGGGTTGTAGACTCCAGAGCAACAGACCACATCGCGAGGGACAGAGTAGGGTTCGTTGAGTATCGTCGAGTACCTGCTGGGAGCAGAAAAGTTTACATGGGGAACGAGTGTTTGTCAAGGCCGTAAACCATCTCTCTCTATTAGGCTGGAGTTCATACCCATAGACAGGCTTATGCACCATATATGCCATGGCTTGAGTAGCCTAAAACAGTTTATTTTGATGGATGTGTCTTGCAACTCGAATGTCCACGGCACAGATTGTTACATTGTACACACAATGACACCAAAGGCGCATGGCATGGAAAATGGTTTGTTCATATTGCCAATTCATCATTCTAGTAAATGTGTTGATATTATTAGCGAAGATGAGTTGATGGATGGAAAATGTGTTGATGTGTTGGGGAGGAGACCTAGATGAGCGTAAGTCTACTTCAGGATATGCTTTCATGCTTAGCAATGGAGGCAACAAGGAAACCATTTGGGAAAGCCATAAGGGCATCTATTCCATTGCAACTTATTCATTCTAATATATGTGGACTAATGAATGTGAGGGCAAGGCATGGAGCTCCTTATTTCATCACATTTATAGATGATTGCACGCGTTTTGGTCATGTTTATTTGATTTCTCACAAGTCAGAAGCATTGGATTTCTTTAGACGGTATGTTAATGAGGTTGAGAATCAATTAGACAAGAGCATTAAGGCTCTAAGGACTGACCGAGGACGTGAGTATCTATCTGAGCAATTTAAAGTGCTCTGTGAGGAAAAAGGAGTTATCAGGCAATTGACAATTCCTAGGACTCTGCAACAAAATGGTGTAGTGGAGAGAAGGAATCGCACATTGCTTGACATGGTTAGATCAATGATGGCGCAAGCTATTCTTCTAATTTCTTATCGGGGAGATGCTTTGCTGACTGCTGCCTACGTCCTTAACCGTGTGCCCTCCAAATCAGTTCCTTCCACCCCGTATGAGATGTGGACTGGCAAAAAGCCTGATTTGGGCAATTTGCGGCCTTGGGGTGCGGCAGCTTACATACACAACGCTTCTCATAAGTTTAGGAAGTTGGGCCCTAAAGGAAAGAAGTGTATCTTCATTCGCTATAGTGAGCATTCTAAGGGCTCTGTGTTTGTTGGGGAGCATCCGGATGGAAGTGTGACTGAAATTGAGTCACGAGATGTGGATTTCCTAGAGGAGGATTTCTCTAGCAGAGGTGAGGTAACTAGAGAAGTAGAACTCTATGAGATGGAGGATCTACTTGAAGGCGCACCCAGTAGCCTAGTAGAGAATGAGGAAATAATTCCTCAAGCTCCTAGGGACAGTGGGAGCGATCTACCTACCCATGGATTAGATCCAATGGATGAGGATTCTCAGGATTCTCAACTACATAGAAGCAAACGTGGAGCTATACCCCATCGTTGTTTTGAGATTGAAGGGGAAGCGTTCATGATTGCTCCCAGTGATGAGATAGAGCCTAAGAATCTCAAAGAGGCTCTCTCATCCCCAACTAGTAAAGAATGGAGTACTGCAATGGATGAAGAAATAGTGTCTATGAACAAAAATCATGTCTGGGACTTGGTTGATTTGCCGCTAGGGCGCAAGACTATTGGGAACAAATGGGTTCTCAAAATCAAGCGCAAGGCGGATGGTTCCATAGAAAGGTATAAGGCTCGCCTAGTGGCGAAAGGTTACACCCAACGAGAGGGTGTGGACTATGAGGAAACTTTTTCACCAGTTGTAAGGTTTGCCTATATTCGCCTAATCCTGGCCATAGTAACTCAGTTGGACTTAGAGCTATATCAGATGGACGTTAAAACTGCATTTCTCAATGGAGAATTGGATGAAGAGATCTATATGGATCAACCAGAAGGCTTTGTAGCAGTAGGTCAGGAGCGCAAAGTTTGCAAGCTTCAACGATCTATTTATGGCTTAAAGCAATCATCCAGACAGTGGAATCTGAGATTTCATCGAGCCATTGTTTCAAATGGGTTTACGATGATTGATGAAGATCACTGTGTGTACGTTAAGCGGTCCAAGGACATTTTTCTGATATTGTCATTATATGTAGATGACATATTATTGGCTGGAAATGACAAGGAGATGATTG